TTCCATGAGCAATTATTATGGATTGAAGTAAAATGAGATCCTTGGCAACTTCCATACCCACCTCTCACTGCCGCCTCCCCGCCCCCACTCCCACCTCGCCTCTTATTAGGATGCTGCCTACTGGTCCAGTTGGGGGATTTTCCTTTTCTTTATGTTGAGAACAAGCCACAGTCAAGACTGTAGTCTGATTGTCATCAGTAAGTGCTTCAAGTCCTCTTTGTTTACAGCAAACAGGCTATTGAGTGAATCTTCCTCCGATTCTAATGCCATGTTCTTCTCTGGTTTAGTTCATTTTGCTAAAGATACGTTTCAGCCTTCCCTACCACTGAGAAACTGCCCACATTTGAGGAAAGAATCAGTTCTGAAACAACCCGACTGTGTCGGGTGATTTCCACCCACGCTCTATCCATCGTCCTGAACAGAGGAGGACTTCACTCTTGATTCTCTCTGGCCTTTGAGAGGAAATGAAGGATGGCAGCTGTCACCATCCTGCTCAAAATGGCTGCAAATAGTTTAGGCTTTTCAAATACAGGTGATTCTTTCCCTGGTTGGTGAGGGAGGGAAAACAACCTTGAACCTTGTTTGCTTCACTTTGGTGCCCTCTCTTTGGCATTGGAGAGTGTGTAACTGAGCCATGGCCTGGCCTTAAGGACACTTAGATTCCTGTCCAGGCACAGTCAGCCGCTTCCCTGAGCCAAGAAAGGTGAGTCGCAGCTGAGATTGGGAAAGCTATTCAGAAGGATGGCAAAATGAGCGAGTGCAAGTAGAACCGTGGAACAAGGAGTCTTGTGAGTCAGAAACTTGGCGATCGTTCCCGGAGCCCTTCCTTTGAGCATCAAGGTTGGTATGTTAAGGACAAGGAGTGTTAATAACAATCAAATTGTAGATGCTGTAAAAAGTCTTTGACTGGATCAGCTAAAGTGACCATTCAAAAAGAACCTAACCATCCATAAATCTGAGGGTCGAATAAAATATGGCATGTCCACACAAACAAAGCCATACAGCTAGTTGAAAGAATGACATAGAATTGTTTTTGCTAGTAAAGGGCAACCTCCAAGACATGCTATTTAATAAGAAAACAAACAAAACAAAAAGCTATATACCATATGTATTTGTGTATAAAGCCAAGTTTTTCAGCACAATTGTTATGCAGTTTTTGTGGTAAAATTAGGTGCCTTGGCTGATATTCAGGTCATCTTATACTTGAGTATATATGGTATGTATATAGATAGTAAACACTCTATAAAATCTCAACTAAGCACCTCCTTTCGGTGCTCTTTTAATTTCTAACAATAATGCATCTACCGATTTCTCATAGAATTAAGAAAGCAAAATAAGAAAAATAAAGCTTTCAGGAGAAGTACAATGTTTGAAACTCCAGGCTTCGTGTGGAAAGACCGAAGGCACTTGGAGCGGAGCTGTCTGGTACAGAACCCAGGTGGCGTCTAGGCAGGTCCTGGGTTCTCTGGGTGAAGCAGTCATTGCTTTCAGCCCCGCTTCTTTGCCTTTCACTTTACCAACAAGATGATCGTTCGGTCACTTGTCATTTCATCCATTGACATGCACAAGCCCTGATGTTCTTGAGGGAAGTCACATGGACAAAACCCAGGGACCCTTCTCCTCCTCGTTCTGGCCAGATATGGACAGCGGGTGGCTAGAGGGCTTAGGTGTGTTCATTCATCCTGGAGAGGAAACGTTTGAGCCTATGATGAAGCTGAACAGGCAAACTGCAGGCCCTACCTTACTAAGGGAGCTATGGAAGGAACTCCTTACACACACGACAGAGAACTTGCTTGCCATCCTGGCGAGTAAGAACGCTTTGAAACGCAGTTTTGTCTTCTGATTTATTCCCCAAACCAAAACTCACTGCCACTGAGTCCATTCTGACTGGTCGTGACCCTAGAGGACAAGGCAGAACTGCCCCGGTGCACTTCTGAAACTGGAACTTGTTACAGCAGGAGGAAGCCCTGTCTTTCTCCCCCAGAGCAGCTGGTGGTTTCAAACAACTGACCTTGTCATCAGGTCAGCAGCCCAATGAGTAACCAGTCCACAAGGAGGGCTCCTTTAGGGAGCTAAATATTTCAGAATCTCTTTTTGGAAAGAACATCGTCTCTTTTCAGAATGATAAACTAAATCAAGGTGGACAAATTAGCTGAGAACCAGCGAAGTGACTGCGCCAGTCCCGAACACGCTTCAGGGCTTGCCTGCCTCGCTCCCTTCTTCAGGGCCTGCCCATTCCGTGAACCAGTCCTCAAGTGCCTTGCCTCCACAGAAATGTTCTTCAAGACTTCCTGGCAGATGTGTTCCCTTGAACTCTTTACAGAATCAGTCAGATTTGAGGGGAAAACGAAATTATCAGAAGAAGCCAAGGGCTTGGTGAACCATTCTGCCCTCTTTTACTTGCATTCTCTGGTGTGATTTGAATCTTGGAGGCAATTGACAAATTCTGTCCATCAGGCTCCCCTGGGGCCTTGAATGGGCGTAGGAAGGAACTGTCTCGGGAAGTCTGCTGTGAACTCAGGGGTCCTCTGCCACTGTGGAGTGCAATAAAAAGTTGCCTGTCTCATTTGCGCCATTCTTTAATGTTTCTGCAGCAAACGACATTTGATGTTTCCAGGTCTCCATATCTTCCTTTATAAAATGAGCATTGACCTTGGCCCACCTTGCCCCATCTGGCCCTGACAGATCTAGGATTCCATGTTCAAATCCCATGAATAGTCCAGGACCTTCCCCAAGGGTATTTCCAAACACCCCCTCAGCTAGGCCAGGCAGGGAACAGAAAGGTGTAAGGACTGATAGCTACCACTTAAATAGTCACTTCTCAGGAAAAGAGGATAAGGAATGTAGTAATCGATGTATCCACTGCTAAGGAAAAAGATGAGATTTCCTTTGGGTAAGCCCTCTTTTAGGACAGAACATAGGATTCAGGGCTTATTGGAAGAGAGGAGCCCTGGTAGGGTTATGCCCTGAGCAGCTAATTATGAGGTCAAGCTGTTTGCTTGAACATACCCGTTGGGAGGCTTTCTGCTCCAATAAAGATCTACAGCCTTGGAGTCCCGCAGAGGCAGTTCTAGCCCGGTACGGTTGCCATGAGCTGGAATCGAGTTGATGGCTGCCAGTTTGGCCTTTTTGCTTTTTCCTAGTCCGTGTTTTGGTTTGGGGGGGTTGCTGTCTCATTTTGAAAGGAGCCAGGTGGCATGCATTGCACTGCTAACTGCTACATCAGCAGTTCAAATCCACCAGTCGCTCCACAGGAGACAGATGAGGCCTTCAGTTTCTGTAAAGATTGTCCAGCCCAGAAACCACTGGGAGAGGGGCTGCAGTGAGTCAGAACTGGCTCTATGGAAGCGAGTTTGATGTGGTTTGGTCTCAATCTGAGAGTTCCAAAAACATCGCCCATTGGCTGCTTAATTAAAGGTAGGGGTGGGGTGGGGAGAAGAGAATGCCAGTTGTCTTTAAGGACTAAATTACTTGGATGATTAAGGGGAGTGATAAACACCAAGACCACAGCTCACAGCCACCCGCCCAGCTGATTCCAACTCAAAACAATGAGCACTCTCCTCCAGTAATATCTGCCTCCCATCATACTTCCCTCATTTCTTTTCCTGGAAAAATATGGTTTTAAGTGGTTTTGAAGCTAGTAACTCCAATTTCTCATTGAGCTGTAAAAATAGATTGATGTCTTGTATACGTCACTACCCCTGAAAGAGGAATGTGAAGTAGAGCCCTCCCTGAAGTAAAGCTCCTCCACCCCTCTGGCAGTGTTCTCACCCTGGCTGCATCGCAGTCACCCAGATGCTTTGAAACTTAATTGGTCCCCAGGGTCACCATAAATCTACACAGGACCCCCTGGAGGGGACCCACGGATCTGCATGTTTAATACGTTCTCACACAGGTGATTCTTTTATGTGTACCTTTGACAACGTGGCCTCATGATTAAGGTGACCAGACGTCCCGCTTTTGGACAATTTTTCCCACGTCCTATGGTGTTTTTAAAAAGTCCCAATTTTTGGAAAGAATGTACGACAAGCTAGGGTATATGGTTTTCGGCTGCCATGTGGCTATTTCGCCAAGATATGAGTTTTATCAATGGTGTCCTACTTTACCAATGTTAAAATCTGGTCACCTTACTCATGATAGTCAAAGTCATGCCTTTGAAAATATTTGGTCTCATATAATCTAGCCCTGAACCACTTGGATCCCATGAGAACAGTGGTTCTCAACCTCCCTCATGCCGTGACCCTTGAATACAGTTCCTCATGTTGTGGTGGACCCCTCCCTCCCAACCATAAAATTATTTTTGTTGCGACTTCATAACAGTCATTTTGCTACTGTGATGAATCCGGCGACCCCTGTGAGAGGGTCATTGACACCCAAAGGGGTCGCGACCCACAGGTTGAGAACCACTGCTTTAGAAGAAGAAAAAAAAGAACCAGTAAGTATACTGTTTTAGAACACAGTAAGCATGTCATGTGCTAATTCAGTCCAGTGACATCATAGAATAAAAGTGTACCGCTGAATGCTTTTAGTTTCTGATAATGTTGGTAAGGTGGCATGTCATGGGGCCTTTTTAGCCCCAGACATCACTCCAGAGAATTCCAAACAGATATAGGCAAGTGTCATTAGGATCCGTGTGCCTCCCTCTGAGGCTGGTTATGCATAGAAATAAGATGTGCCGAAGTATCACTTCCCCCCCGCTGAAGTGTTGAGAAGCGTGGTTATCTGACAGATAGTCCTGGGAGTGTGAATGGGGACCAGGAAGGGAAAAGTGCAGCTATGTGGTGCAATATCAACAGACAGCTGTGCCCTTGATAAGTAGGATGACTCGGATTGTTGAGTGGTGCGGTCATACCAGAGGACCGGCCCTCTCACATTTCTTCCTGATGCACATGTTCAGTGGGCTGGCTTGTCAGCCCCGCCCTCGTCAGCTTCCCAGACACTGAGTCTGGAATGAAAATTCACCTGCCTCTGAGCTGGCTGCTGAGTGGGTTCCCAGGTTGGAAGATTATCTCACCCAACCCACGCTATATAAACTGACCGAGGTGGGGGGACTCAGCAGGGTTCATTCCACAGACCCACACGGGCAAGCATGGTGGTGCTGAAAGTGGAGGAGCTGGTATGTAAGCTGCATTTTCTTTGCCCAGTGAAAACTGGCTCTGTCTGTTTTTATTTGAAAATTGAAATGCCTCTTTCTTTTAGGCACGGTGCATAGATATTCTGAAACTGCCGTCACCTGTTGAGAGCTCCCAGTAATGAATTATCTGCATATTTTATCTTCTCCTCTGGCTTCCTTACTAAAGTGTGAAATCACTTGTAATTATCAAAATACCTTCAGGAAGATGTTCTATCCCAGGATCATATATCCAGAAACTTTATAACTCAAGGCCAGTCATGTTATATCAAAAGGGCGGAAGCTGGAAGAATCTTAACTAATGAGAGGGGACGGTGGCTTTCCTAGGAGAGATGTTATTAAGCAAATTGAAAATATATTTAAACATGTCAACTGAATCTAAGCCTTTATTTAAATAAGAGACTAGGGCAAGCACCTGACAGAAATCCTGGAAGACCTCCGAGCATCGGCCTCACAGAGGCAGGCCATGGCCAGGGAGGGAAGGCATCTTCTGTGGAGAGTGGCCCCAAAGCACTGGTCCTTCCATTCCCCCCCAGGTCACGGGGAAGAAGAACGGCAATGGAGAGGCGGGGGGGTTCCTGCCGGAGGATTTCAGAAATGGCCAGTATGAGGCTGCTGTTACCTCGGAGAAGCAAGATGACCTGAAACCACTCCCAGGCCACCCTGTGAGCCGGGCGGAACAACAGTGGAAAAGCGAGAAACAGAGAGAAGCAGAGGTAAGAGTCTTCTTGCGGGCCCACTGCTGGGAGGTTGGGGCTGGAGCCGAGAAGGCAGGGAGGAAGGAGCAAAGAAAGAAACAGAAGAAACGCAACCTTTCCAAAGACTTTCCTTCCCTAATTCTAACACACAAAGAGGCGATTTCTATGGGGCAGGTTATAGGAAATGATTCTTTGACCGTCCTATTTCCTCTGGATTCTGATCAGTGATTCAATGTGCTACAGCCCTGGTGGTATAGTGGTTACACATTGGGTTGCTAGCCACAAGGACAGCTGTTCGAAACCATCAGAAGCTCTGTGGCATAAAGATGAGGCTTTCCACTCCTAAAGAGCTACGGTCATGGAAACCCACAGGGGCAGTTCTACTCTGTCCTTTAAGGTTCTAAGAGTCAGAATGGACTCACTGGTTGTGAATTTCGGTTATGTTTTTAACCATATCCTGATACAAAGATAGATTAGGAAACAAAAATATGTCAGTGAATCTCTGATGTTTTATGTTAGTTACACTCCATCTAGTTAATCCTAACCAAGGGAGAGCTTTATGTCCCCTTCCATGGCATGATTTATAGTCCATAGATTATTGTTTTGACTATGCCCAATATTTGTGCTGACACAATCTGTGTTGCTGGTGAATATTTATTATTTACTCACCACAGATAAAATATGCATTAGTTAGGACAGTCTGTTTCACACGTCCTGCTTAGAGAGGTAAGCCACTTAAGAGAGGTAGGTATTAAAGAGAGAGACATTAATATTTTAGAGCTTTATGATTATTGACTTCTTTGGAGTTAAAAAAAAGCTTTAACTTTTGAAGATGATAAGAACGCTTTCCCCAGAATTCTGGGGCTTATTTATGCTAGTGATTACAAAATAAGCACTTAAAAGATTAGAGTAAAGAAGGGATGCCTTCAGTTAGAGGACTGATTCTATAAGCAAAAGAAATGAAGCTGAAGGAATTAGCTGAAGAATTAGGCACTCAAATACATTAATAAGAAACACTAAATTAAAGTTAATGGTTAATTTTAGAATTATCATCATTTTATTATTTCATTTCAACTGTTCAAATATTTTCTTCCAGAGTTTTGGGCACAACCAGAATGCTTATCAGTAGAACCCATCATATAATGAAATCTGAATTTCTATTTTAGCTCAAGAAGAAGAAATTAGAACAAAGGTCAAAGCTTGAAAATTTAGAAGACCTGGAAACCATCATTCAGCTCAAGAAAAGAAAGAAATACAGGAAAACCAAAGTTCCAATTGTGAAGGAATCTGAACCCGAAATCATTGTAAGTGTTGACTTTGCACTCTATACCCATTAACCCATTGCTGTCAAGTTGATTCTGACTCATACTGACCCTATAGGATAAAGTGAAGCTGCTCCACAGGGCTTACAGGGCTATATGTGGTCTTGAACAAAGCAGAGCGCCGTATTTCTCTCCCATAGAGTAGCGGGTGGGTTTGCACCACCAGTCAATATTTCAGTTAGCAGCTGAGAGCTGACCAGTCACTGCACCCCCGGGGCTGCTGTGGGGCTGTGTCACGTGGGTATTATTATCTGGCTGGATGTTACAGAGCTCACAGTAAATGCTCATACGATGTTTTTGGCTTAGGCAGAACCTGTGGATGTGCCTAGGTTTCTGAAGGCTGCCCTGGAGAACAAACTGCCGGTAGTAGAAAAATTCTTGTCAGACAAGAACAATCCAGATGTCTGCGATGAGGTAAGTTTTATATAAAAGCACTGCAAAATCCAGCTCATTAATTGTGTGTTTCTTATTCTTTCCCGCAAACCTTGTTAATGGCATGTCAGAATCATTCCACCTGAAGCTGCTTCCCCAGCTGTTGCCACATAAGGAGCATAATAGGAGAGTGCACTGGTCCCCCCCCATGCTTCCCCACCCCCGGACGCCCCGCAAAAATCAGAATCACACTCTTTTCTATACTCCATCTGTCAGGCTGATCTCTCAGCCTGTCTTTAATCGACTTTAAATAAGACAGAGCCAACAAGTCACTCATTTGGGGGGAAGCAGACCCTTAGCATCATCTTTGCTTGGTTGGACCCCAACCCCTCAGTATTAGACTAAGAGTCTGGAGATGAGAGTTCAAGTCCCAGTTCCGTTGCTGCCTGGCTATTAGATCTTTAGTACATAGTTTACATGCTCTGGGTCAGTTTCCTTTATCTGCAAACAGAGGCTATTGGAATGAGAGGATGCCTACAGTTGTCCATTGTTGTTAGGTGCTCTTGAGTTGATTCCAACTCGTAGCAGACCCTGTGCGATGGAACAGGGGTTCCTGGCTGTAGTCTTTATGGGAGCAGATCGCTAGGTCTGCCCCCTGTGGAGTCAGTGTGTGAGTCTGAGCCGCCAACCTCTAGGCCATCCATCAGATACTTGACTGTGTAGTCTCAGGAGGGTTTCTGTTCAGCTCTGACAGTCTATTGATCTATTCCTTAGTAATGAAAAATTAATCCACTCGTTCAATTTATCCGACAAGACAAGTCCCCTTTCCTTTTTCTCCTACAAACTGAATTGGGGATCATTTTTTAAATTGTACGATAGAAATGAGACATTCTCTTAAAAAATGAATACCATTTTAACTGAAGAAAACACTTTATTGAGAATATATATATACTCGAGTGTGCATGCAGATCAGACAGCTTTCTTATCAGGGGCTGGGGGAAGGAGAGTTGTGTTGAAGAGATCCTAAATTTCTGTTTGAGTTGATGTGAGAGTCTTGGACATAGATAGTCGGGAGAGTTACCCACACTAGGGAGTGTAATTAATATCCCCTAACTGGGTACTTGACGGAGTCCTGGTGGCATAGTGCTTGCCAACTGGGCTGCGTACATGCACGGTCTGCAGCGGGAAACACCTCTGGATCTGCAGGAGAAAGATGGGGCGGCCACCAGGTGCTCTCCCGGAGAAAGGGGAGGCTGCCTGCTTCCCTCAGCCCCTGATCACCTCGAATGAACTAGGGTCTCTATGCAATGGCATAAGAAGGAATACCTTTTGATATTCAGCCTCGCTCCGGTCCGATGGGAGAAAGCTCTCTGATCTGCATGGCAGCTATGACACACAATGGAAGTGCAAAGTTCAAGGATGAGAAATGTCCGCATTTGGGTAGTTTTGAACCTTTTAAGTTTGCATCCTTCAACACAGACCTCTGAGCACTTAGAAAATAACATGGCAGGAAGTGTAGAACTTAGTTGCAGGATAAAGTCCCTAGTTGTTCTGCAATGCTCGTCCATTTGGCATTTCTAATTCATAAATGCACACTCGAGTTTCTATCACTTAGGCCATCAGAGCCCCAGCCTCGTGCCGGTTCCTTGTAAAGGAAGGGGCTTATGCACATTTTCAAATGCATGGCTCTCTCTCTTTTTTTCATCTCTCTTCTGACAGTACAAACGGACAGCTCTGCACAGAGCTTGCTTGGAAGGACATTTAGCGATTGTGGAGAAGTTAATGGAAGCCGGAGCCCAGATTGAATTCCGTGATATGGTAAGTATCTTGCTTCGCTTGGAAATGAGCCAAAATAAGTTGACTGGCTGTACGAAGCTGGAGAAAACCTACAATGAAAAGCCAGGCTGATGGGATTGAAAATTGATCTGAAAGAACTGGGTGAAAGCTCATTTCTCTGTACAAAGGAGAGTTGGGAGAGGAGACGAGGTCATGTGGAAAGCATTTTCCATACATATTTAGAAAGAAGGGCGTGTTCCAGGACAAGGAAGAAAATACAAACTCTTGGACAGAATTTCATATCCTCACCAGAGAGGTGGGTTTTAATTTTAATCAAGTCAGTGGCCTTACCAAGAAGTAATCCATTCAGTGCTTACCTCTCAACACACCCTGTCCTTCCATTCTACCGGGGAGCCTACTCGTGGCCTCCTGACTGACAGCAGTAGGGGATCGAGCTTGTCCAGCTGCACATTTTACAGGACAGATGTCCATTGCCATCGGTGAGATCTGAGGCTGGACTATATGCTAAATGAATCGCCATCGAGGGAAAGTAGCTGCTTTGCAGACTTCAGTAATTCAGCCACTGCTGATGTCTATGAAGACCGATAGACAACATACTTTATGAACTAAAGACTGGGTGTAGAAAAGACTTCGTGTAATTACACGGAACCCAATTGGACACCATAGCAAAGTGAAAAGGGGCCCAAAAAAAGGCTTGCAAAGGCCTTGGGTAAAAGGGAGGCCCCAACACACGCATGTTTTAAAGTAGAAGTAAAGAACTCTTTGAACACATGCTTGCCTGTAAGGCCTGTTGTGGTCACGCTGATTCCTAGTCGTAGTGACCCCAGGACAGAGCAGGGCTGTCCTGTAATCCTCAGGGAAAACGGACTACCGCTTCTTTCGCGCATGGAACAGCTGGTGGGTTTGAACCTCCGACTTTTCTGTTGGAAGCCAAGTGATTAACCACTATGCCACACAACAACATCATAGGTGTGAGCTTTGGAAGCCCAGACGTGGGCATACCAACTAGAGCAGCGATAAAGGATCCCAGGAGAAACAAGTACAGTGTGCAGTCACCCCAAGTCGCCCAGCAGTTGGGGCAGAGCTGTGTTGGCATCAAAGACAGCAGAGAATCAATACAAGACCGAGAAAGAGCTACAATAGGGTAGGTCACATCCTGGTTAAAGTTCTTCTTAAAGGGACTATTTTTATTCTGCTCAAATTGTCAATACATTCGTCTAATACATTTAAGTATATTTGGCAAGTATAATTTAAAATTCGGGGCAGATGTGGATTTGAGTATCTCTTCGGCATCTGATGGGCTGCAGGTCCTGGGGCGAAGTGAGTGGAGCTGTTTTGGGAGCCTGGCTTTTTTGCCCGTTCTGTCTACCTCATCGTGTTACTATGGGGTTTAGATGCATCTAAAGTGTGCAGGGCAATGGTGGGATACAGTCAATTCTCAAGCAATGCTAGGATCTCTTTTTGTCACTGGTAGATTTCCGAGGAAACTCCCTGTGGTAAAAGCATACATGCACAGGAATCCACACATGAATACACAAACACACATAGAATTCAGCTGTGACTGGAACTTCTGACTTACAGTAAGAATCGGCAATCTAGGTGAAGACAACCCAGTGTTGCCAGAGAAATCTGAGCAAACCTCGGGATCCCTGGGCCTTAGAAACCAAGTATTCACTCCTTTGTCAGGTTCTCATTGACAGTTGGGTCCTTTTTGCTTCCCTGTATAGCTTGAATCAACAGCCATCCATTGGGCAAGCCGTGGGGGAAAGCTGGAGGCCTTAAAATTGCTACTGAACAAAGGAGCAAAAATCAGCGCCCGTGATAAGGTATTTCTCATCCTCCTTCCCCTGGGCCCCCCAGCCTCATCACTGTAGTCAGCAGTTGCGCGAGCCTTGTGCAGCCACCCCGGACGTGTCTCTTACATGCCTTGGGGTCTTGGGAAGTCGCTGTCCTGCCTCCCAGCCCATCAGCAGTGTTGGCATTTTTCAGTTGCTCAGCACAGCGCTGCATGTGGCTGTGAGGACGGGCCACTACGAGTGCGCGGAGCATCTCATCGCCTGTGAGGCGGACCTCAACGCCAAGGATCGAGTGAGTATCATCCATGGTTCCTGATCCCCAACCTGGGATCTGTCCTGGGGCCCTCTGTCTGGATCCAGACCGGCCTGGAACCGGTTTATTCTGCTTCTCTAGGAAGGGGATACCCCTCTGCACGATGCTGTGAGGTTGAATCGGTACAAAATGACCAGACTGTTGATTATGTACGGCGCAGACCTCAACATCAAGAACTGCGTAAGTACTATCTTTGGGCTTTGCCTTTGACAGAGCATTTTGTGAATATTTGAAAATATTTCCACAACAGAAGTGTTGGATGGCGGGGTGGGGGTGGGGGAGTGAGGGGTAGTGGATATTGTGATGATGTAAATGTCCATGTCCATTCCCATTAGGACGTTGTTAACCTTGGTAATAACTCAAGTGACTTGGTTGGGGAAGGGAAGACGATCTAGCGGCTGTGATGGCTTTCATGGGAGTCCCTAGGTGGTGCGAGTAGTTAACACTCAACACTCTTGGCTGCTAGCCAGAAGGTTGCCAGAGGTGCTTTGTCAGAAAGACCTGGAAATCCATTTCCACCAAATCAGCCTTTGAAAACCGTATCAAGCACAGTTCTCCTGTGACATCCCGGCTTCACCATGGGGTCACCAGAGTAGAACGGATCCACAAAGGTTTCCTAAGCTGTGCTCACCACAAGAGTTGATGGTCAGGTATTCTCACGCACAGCAGCTAGTGGGTTTGAACTACTGACTTTTTGGTTAGCAGTCTACCACTTACACCGAGTCACCAAAGCCAGGGTGACCAGAGAATCAAATCCAGAGACACTCATATATGTATAAGAAAGAGCTCTATATCAGGAAGTAATTATATATATCCAGAAAGCATCCCAGCCTAGTCTCACTCAAGTCCTTAAGTCCGATACTAGTCCATAAGTCCCTCGTTAGACTCAGGCAGCCACATGCAATGATGCAGAATACAGGAAGATTACAGGCCGGTGGGTGCAAAGTCATGTGGATTCAAAGGCAGTAGAAGCATTACAGGGGTCTCGTAGCAATCAGGGTTAGCCAGCAGGAAGGTGAAGGCAGAGAGAGGTGGGGTAGGAGGTGGGAGAGAGGTTCCCAGGGCCCTCCTTATGAAAAGGCAACACCTACAAGGAGTCACCATTAGTCTGTAACCTGGTTGACAGGCTAACCTCCACCCCCTATACTTTCATATATCTTCAAGTTGAGAGGAAATTATGTAACTACCACAGATTCTTAGTGCATAATATCGTGCCTGGTACCACTTTTTAAAGCTGGTCTTGAAAGTAAAGCATGGTCAGAACTACTCACCTTCACAGGCACCTGTCGACGTCATCTGCCTCAGCCACCCCTGGCTGTGTCAAGGTAGTTAGGGATGGTCTGCAGTTCTACAGTGGTCAAGGCAGCCGTGGGCCAATGAGAGAAAACTAACCCATGCTCTTCCTCCCGAGTGATTCAGAATGCTCCTCTCCTCCTTAGACCAAAAAGAAAAGCAGTCACTTTCTTGCAGGGCAGCCATACTTTTGCCTACATTTAAAATATCATTTCTCTCCATTTACCACTTTGTCTGCACACCCTTCAGAAGAGTTTCCTATTCCTGAAAATGCTGTGTGAGTTCCTTGTCTTAGTGTTCCTTCCAATTCACCTCGAAGTGGGGCACATGATCAACATTTTCTGATGGCCCCAACTCCTAGTCAAACATCTTCAAATATAAGCTTTAAAAATATCACTTGGAGGAAAGGGTTTAAGCTACTGAAGAAAAATATTGAAAGATGTTTTGGTGAATCACTTGCTAAGAAGTAGGGGGTGGGGGTGGGGTAGAAAAACAGTTGTTGAATAGTGTGAGTAATTTCTTCCTCCGATTTGTGTTATTATGAGACTGAGATGAAAATTCTAGCATTAAAAAAAAAAGTAACTGGCTTGGTGATAGGAACAAAAGTAAGTGGGGGCTGCTTGGGACAGGAAAGCATTGAAGGCAGGATCCCTCGGGCTGAACACAAGGACCGGTCTTGTCCCATGTGCCTGAAAGCTCTCTGGGACAATGTAGCTTCAATGACATCTGCAAAGCTGCAGAAAATATGAGCTTTTTAAAGGAAGTGAGACATGATCAGAGCATTAGTAACAGACTTAGGGAAATGGTAAAGCAGGTAGGAAATCAGGAGATGAATTTTAATGGAGAGTCATACAAGGAAGTTATGAGAAAATAGCTCTCAATATACGAATAGGGCTCCAAAAGAGGATTCTGGGCCCATGAACTTCATGGGCTCAACGAATTGATACTTACAAAAATAAATAAATAACCTATTAGATGCCCTCTTGACGGTGACTGGAAGCAATGCAACTGTATTATTTTATTCTTGTCCAAAACCGCCTTAATGTCTACTGACAGGGTTCTTCAAGAAAGACAAACCGAGCTGTAGCCGTTTTAAAGTTAAGGTTGAAAACCAGAAAATTCAACCATACTCACTGCCATTGAGTCGATGGCAACTCATAGTGATCCTATAGGATAGTATAGAACTTCTTCTGTGAGTCTCCAAGACTGGAATGCTTTATGGGATTAAACATTGCCATAGTTCTCCCTTGGGGAGGCCGGGATTTGGAACTGCTGTGACTCATAGTCCAATTAGGAACCACTATGCATCTGAGCCCTCAGCAGGACCGTGACCTCACGTGCCTACAGGAAGTGGACAGAGCACATAAACCATGTAAATGGGTAGCTGGTAAAAATCTGTGTACCCAACTCTTATAAAGACTGTGGCAGGTCCCCAAACCAGCGCATGACTGCTATGTGGAACCAGAGGGGCTGTGTTGATTTTATTTTGCATAGAGATTCCAAACCCAATTGGGAAATCTCTTGACTTCTAAATCTTTCTAATGAATTCTAACTTTTTTTTTTAAAGTAAGCCCTGTTTGTCAAACGAAATAGATGTACAGACTGGTTGACATTTCAAATTACCTGTATGCAACCTTTGGGTGAAAGAGATGGAAAGAGTTCAAAATAAACAGAGGTGGGAATGTTTAGAACTTTTCACATCTATAGACAAAAACTGAGAGGTGGCATGGCTTTAATGTTTGTGCATATCTTGAGGCACATGAACAAGAGAAAGAAAAAGTTGGCATTTAATCACCTATGTCTTTGCCACCAACTTAAAAAAAAATTCTGAGGAGAGGCCATTGTAAACGCTGGGTTCTGAGAAATCTGTTCCAGGGGCAGTAATAGTACCTGTTCAGGACCTGAAAATTTAAACCGAGGAGTTGAAGCAACTCACATAACACCAGTTTCTATCGACCAAGAAATCATGTTCTAGTTTTTCATGAACTGGTTTTTCAACAAAAAGGGACACCACCAGCTTCCCACACTATCCTCCAAGGTCCTGCAGATACATCAAATCCAAAATCAAATTCACTGCCATCCAGTCAATGCCGACACTGACCTTCTAGGAAATGCCCCTGTGGGTTTCCCAGACCGGAGCCTCTCTGTAGGAGTAGAAAGCCCTGTCTTCCCCCCATGGAGCAGCTGATGGTTTCAAACTGCCGACCTGGCAGGTCACAGGCCGGCACCTAACTACTAGGACCCAGGGCTCCGGCTTTTCCCTAGGGGCTCCTGGAGATACTCAGGCATTTTCAAATCTCAAACCAAGTACGAGGGTGCTATTGCCACCTAGTGTTTAGAGACCAGGGATTTTACCTGGTGATCATTTCACAGGGAAACATCAAATGCCTCTCAGAGGAAAAAACTGGTTTGAATATAAAACTGCCCCCCAGTTAAACTGACATCACCCATTTTTAAGTTAGCTTTAAGTCAGTCTTTAAGTCACCTGTGTCGGTAAATTGGGACAGGAGCAGATGGCTCTTATGTAGCCTTCCTTTATAGAGCAGGAAAGATGGGGAAGCCTTTCAGCTGCTTAGACGCTCATATGCACCAGGTGCAGGTGATTGCAGGGAAGAATATGGAGTAGAGGTTGGTTCAAACCGTCAAACGAGGGCAACTTTATATAACATTAAAGGGCAAATAAGTCAGTCAGGGGACTCTAAATTGGACCCTTGCAAACCTCTGAAGGATTCCTTGCAAAAAGACATGTAGTAGAACATATTACAAGCTTCTATAAAGTGCACGTTGTTAAACACACAGAGAATGTGAATTGATAGATGCCCCCCCCCACCTGCCAGTCATGGTTTCTCGTCTGTTTTGTGATCAGGCTGGAAAGACCCCAATGGACCTGGTGCTGCACTGGCAGAACGGAACCAAAGCCATATTCGACAGCCTCAAAGCCAACGCCTACAAAGCCTCCCGCATCACAACGTTCTAAGCGCAGCCCCGGCATTGGAAGGCTTTGCACAGGGAGCGCCACGAGCCGCAGGCTCAGCTTCGGCCTCGCAACACGTCGCGATGAAGCTTCGAGAAAGCACGGGGATAGGAGGATTCACCTTGCCATTGGTTTAGTGACACTCACCTCTATTTATTTTTATTTATTGATGAGTGCTTCCTTTGTACAGCACACTTCCCGAGCCTCCCCAGTAGAAGATGTAGAAGAGTGCGCAATGCTGGGCGGGCCCACTGAGGCCACTGCGGCGGCCTCCTTCTTGCATGATACTTCAAGGTGCCTCTCAAAGACAAAGGGGGTCGCTGTGGCCCTGTTTTCTCCTGGAGTTTTCATGCAGTTGTTCCAGGGAAGCCAGGGCGGGAAGGCACAGAGGCAGGACGGGAAGCAGAGCGGGTTGGAAGGAATGGCGGAGGAAGGACAGGAAAGGCGGCCGCTGATGCCCTGGACCAGGTGTTTGTACTTAGTGGTGCGCTGCAGCAGGTGAGGAAGGATTGGAAAGGCGGCCGCTGATGCCCTGGACCAGGTGTTTGTACTTAGTGGTGCGCTGCAGCAGGTGAGGAAGGTCGTGAAGGGAAGAAGCCCGGGTAGTGGAGGGAGCTGGCAACCGAGCCCACCGAAAGAAATTCACTCCCCCAAACCACGAACGTCAAGACAAACTGTAAAGGTGCAGATGTCTATTCGTGTATGTACATTTTATATTCATAATAAAAACAAAAGCCAAGCCTCTTTCTTAGTCCTCTGAAGGGTGATGCGAAAGGACCGTGTGAGGACGACTTTCGTTATGGTGGGGGTATTGTTTCCCATCTTCCCCATTTTTTCAAATCAGAAAGGTCCAGGAGAACAGCCCTTGTCAAACTTTAAGGTGCATGTATTCACATCACCTGGGGATCTTGTTTAAAATGAAAATCCTGTTTCCCATGAGATGGGCCCCGGGAGCCATGCCTCCCAGGCTTGAGCTGTGATTTGACGTAATGGCACTTGGAGCAGCAAGCCCGTGCGCAGGAAGAGATACCAGCGACATTAAAGTCCTCTAGGGCCCAATATGTGGGAAAAGCGACACCTGGTGGTTTGGGTTATTACTGCAAATTAATCCAGTGCTGGGAAGTTTAACAGTGATCACCAGCACAAGACAGCTGTGCCACAGGCTTCTCATGAGGAAAAGCACACCTGGTCGATGATTTTTTTTTTTAACCTTCACAGTTACTTTGTTGCCAAATATCTTGTCAATTGCCTCAGGCATGTGACTAGAAAACGGAACCATCCCTGCCCCGGTCCCCTGGAATAGATAATTATTAAACGAATCATCAGACTGCTTCACAATCCGAAGCCCGGGCAAAGGTGAGTGCTGTGAGACAGTAGAAGACGTGGAGGCACCTGCTTAGGAGGGGCGCTAAGGGAACATTTTACAAAATCTCTGAAGTGGTGACTGCAGAGGGAGTCTGAAAGTAGTATGAAAGCTGGGGGTTCAGGCAGCAGGTAGCGCAGGGGGGTGGGGGTGGAGGCAAGGGTCTGGGGACAATTTGACACTTGAGGAAATGCAGAGAGTTCAGTGAAGGCCACACAGAATACCAAACACTCCAGGTTGGACCATACATGTAACCTCTCCGACACTCCTCTAACATTTGGGAGAGTGCGGCAGGAAGTCTTTCAGTGAGCTGACCGTGAACTCGGATCCAGCTGAGGATGGTTTGAAGTATATTGTTACTTTTTGACCTAGTCTCCTGTTAATCTCTTGTGTCTACTTCCCACAGGCATTGGAAGTTACAATGTGTCATCTCCCTCCCTCCCTTCCAATCCCTTTCTGCCAGCCCTTCTTGCTGGGTTCTGGCTCTAGTCTGTCACATCCTTAAGGCTCTACAACTAAGGTGACCAGACGTCCCGCTATTGGCGGGATAGTCCTGATTTTTAACAATTTGTCCTGCGTCCTGCGGCGTTTTTAAAAAAAAGTCCTGATTTTTGGAAAGAATGCATGACAAGCTAGGGTATACGGTTTTCGGCTGCCGTGTGGCTATTTCGCCAGGCTATGAGTTTTATCAATGGTGTCCCGCTTGACCAATGTTAAAATCTGGTCACCTTACTCTGCACTCTACTGGTTCATCAAAGCACCTGCAACGCAAATAATTTGCTAATACTGATGCCTCCTTTGGTTTAACTTGGATGTAGTGTTACACACCCAAATGCTCTTTATCACGGCAGCTCAACTCCCCCTGTCCACAGGAGAGAAAGGAGTTTACCCCCCCAAACACAAAAACACACTTAACTGTTGTCACATATATTTGCACTACTACAGAGATAGGGGGCATGAAAAATGACATAAAACCCAATGGAATAAAGCCTCTTGAGTGATCTCTGCTAACGAAAGGATAAACATTTCACGCCAAAATCTCATCGGCATCACACATTTATAAACCCACCTTACATCTAAGTCAGCTCTTCACTCCCGATCGGTCTCCATACATGCAACGGAACATGACAGCTCTCTAAACACCCCAATGAAACTGTCAAACACACCACGACATGGAGGAACGTGGACATTATCCTCAGCGAACTTCAGCCTCTCCTAAAACAAATATGGCACCACTGTGATCAAAGAGAAAACTAAGAAAAATGATTTTCACACCAAAATAAGCAGACATTGAAGTCTATGGGGGGTGGGGGTGGGGGCAGGAAGGGGTGGAGAAGGGAAAGGAAGGGAGGGAGGTGACTGTGGAGGTTTGGCGGGGAGCCATCAATGTGGGAACTTTCTGGGATATTGTCAGTGGTCTGAGTTGGGCTTGCAACTCTGTTTTGCATGCTTTTGACTGTGTGCCCTGTACTCCCCAGGAGAAAGAGAAACCAAGCCAGGAAGCTGTTCTTTATCATCCCTTTCTCTTACTTGTCCCTTCCAGTCAACTGCCAAGTCTTTGTACCAAGGGCACCACCTAGACAGCTATTCAGCCTCTCCACCGTCTCCTTCCCGACCCAGTTCAGACCACCATGGCGTCCCTCTGGGTGACACAGGTGGCTGTGGATAAATAGGCTCCTGGACTCCATATTTTTTTCAGGAACTCGTCTAGGGGAGAAGAGAGACCCTAGATAAAGGAGGTCAGCAGTTTAAAATCACCAGCCACTCCTCGGGAGAAAGATGAGGCTCTACTACCATCAAGCATTCTAGTCTTGGAAACCTAGAGGAGTAGTTCCACCCTGTCCTGTAGGGCCACTGCGAATCAGAATAGACTCGCTGGCAGGGTGAGTTGGAACTAATAGACAAACCGAGGAGGGGCACATCATCCAGGTGAGGGAGACCGTCAACATCGGGCCATAATGATATCCAAGGATTTACAGAAATGCGGTCACTGAAATACACATGGGATACAAGGGAAGCCCCACAAAAGCATGACTGGTAAGGGAGCAGTAAGTTACAGATGCAGGTGGGACGGCGGGAGTGGGACAGAGACCAAGCTGGGGCTACCTACACTCTTTTAGGAAGAACTAAATGAGATCTGTTCAGCGACCTCCAATAAAGTCATTCAGGTTGACTCTCCGGACTTTAATCCCCTGAATTCCACTGAGGGCACACCCAGGTGAATCCCTATGCATTAGGGATGTGGTAGGAGTCCACCTTCCAACACACTCGGCCTGAGGGCAAAGCTGTTCACACTGCTGGTTAATGGTCAGAAAGAAGTCAGTGGAGACTGAACACATGTGGAGACTCAAAAATGGATTTAGGACTTTCACGGTAAACGGTAGCCTCCACAAGCCTAGTGCTCAGAATTTAGGTTCCAATATGCCGTGATTTTTCTAAAATGCAAATCTGATCCAGCCACTCTCTCCTTTAACTCCCCCCCCCCCTTTCCTTCAGGATTAAAGGGAAGCTTAGTATATCAAATCAAATCCTTACAAATCTGGTGATGGTCTTTATTCTCTATCTCTGACTACTTTGGCAGGAACTTTAATTGACCTGAATTGATTGTGGTGAGTATAGCTGTGAAAAATAGTTGTTTCTTTTCCCAAAAATGAAATAGTTGATACTTGGTGCATTTGTTCACAGCCCATACTCCAAAACCCTTGAAATATTAGCCTAATTAAAAGTTCCAATAATCCCATAAACAGTTTATTTAAACAAAACCCACTGCCACTGAGTCGACTCCAATTCCTGGTGACTACATAGGATTTCCAAGGCTGGCACTTTTTATGGGACAGATAGTCTTCTCTTTCCCTTTAGGAGTGGCTGGTGGGGTTGAACCACCCACCTTTCAGTTAACAGTCAAATGATTACCCAATAGTGCCACCAGGGCTTCTTTCTCACTGTCGTCAGTCGATTCCAATTCCTAGTGACCCGACTGACCAGGCTAGAACTGCACCTGTGCGTCTCTGAGATTGCACATCTTCATGGGAGTAGAAAGCCTTGTCTTTCTCCAGCAGAGCAGCGATGCTTTCCAACTGCTGGCTTCCCAGTTAGCAATGTAAGTCGTAACCCACTTTGCCACCAGGCCTCTCAGAAATGAAAACAAAACAAAAACTCATTGCTACCCAGGCAGTTCTGAGTCCCAGTAACACGTTAGGACAGTAGAGCAGCCTCGGTGGGTTTCCAAGACTGCCAATCTCTATAGGAACAGGAAGCCTCATGCTTCTCCCACAGAGCAGCTGTTGATGGGACCGCAGGCCCTGTGGTTAGCAGCACAAAGCGCACGCCAGCAGCAGCACGGGTAGGAAAAGCGGATGAAGGAAGTACAGAGGTTACGGCATTTGCCTAGGACCGCAGTTGTAAGAACTAACAGAGTTCATGTGTTCACGCAGGCAGTTTGTTTTCAGGCCATGCACTTAACCGGTACACTGTGCTGCCTTCCCCAGCGAGGTAAACAGTGGTCCCAGTACCACTTAGTGAATAATCCGTGCTTTCGTCTTATGAACAAAACTGTTCCACTAATCTTTCTGAATTCCTGCACCAATAACGTAGTTTAGGTTGTAGGTTTGTTTTCTTCTGTAATGTTCAGCAGGACAAGTCCCCCCTACTAGAACAGTGGTTCTCAACCTTCCGAAAGCCTCGACCGGTTTAATACAGGTCCTCAGGTTGTGGTGACCCCAACCATACAATTATTTTTGTTGCTACTTCATAACTAATTTTGCTACTGTTATGAATCGTAACATAAATATCTGATATGCAGGATGTATTTTCATTGTTACAAATTGAACATAATTAAAGCATACTGATGAATCACAAAACAATTGTGCAATTATGTATTGTGAAATATTTATTTCTAATTACAAATAAATGAAATTTTGTCTGGAAGCATGGTGTAGCATGGGTAAGTCTTCACGCAGGTACTCATATGTGGGCGTATCTGCATGTGGGCAGACCCGCCTGGAGACGGACAGAGGAGCGGTTTCTCAGTGCCGAAGACCACTGGAAATATAGTATGTGTTTTCCGATGGTCTCAGGCTACCCCTGTGAAAGGGTCGTTCGACCCCCAAAGGGGTCATAAGCCACAGGTTGAGAACCGCTGTATTATATTTCCCCCCAAAACATCCTATTCTATTTGAGCTTTTCAGATAAACTCTTAATTTTACCAAATAAAAACAAACAAACATATAAACAAACATCTGAAAAATTTCAATTTCGACTTTTTTTTTTCACATTCAGTCTACCCTGAGAAGTGGACTCACTTGCGGGGAAGTGGTTTAACCACTTTCACCTCTTCATCAAAAGTACAGTGCCTTGTACATGAGTCTTCTTTCATTTCTCC